GGAGGCTTCCACTGCAATAGTATACCCTTAGGAGTGGTAGTTATGTGAAATAGTAGTACTTCTCTTACTTGCAGTGCTTTAACTGTGCTGTAGCTAATCTAATATATTGCCATTCATCATATTTTTCTTAATTCTAAAGTATTGTGTTGTTAGAGTTTCTTCTTTTCAAGTTAAAAATGCCAGTTACTGTAACTGATTGCCTTCCAAATTGAAACATTTTCTCTTTGATTGATATTAAGTTACCGTTTAAAATTTTTTTTCTTTTATTTCTTGCATTTTAATCTTCCATTTATTATGTTTCTTTTCATTTCTCTTTCTGATAATGGGATAACTTACCCTTCTGAATGTAAATTTCATCTTACACTATTGTTGAAGCCAAGAAGCTTTTTCATAGTAGTGCTATTTATTGCTGCTTTCAATACACTCATAAGTATTCCTTAGGATGGCGAATTCGCATGGATAGTGAATGCATAATCACGTATATTCTGTGCAATGGATGTTAGGGGGATGGTACAGATGTTACCGACCAAGCTAGGCAAAACATGATAAACCAATTTTGACGATTTCAGCATGCCCAGCCCATATTCTTGATGCGTTTGTATTGTGATAATAAATGTCTATTTTTTGTCTCAAGCTTTGTCAAAGTCCTAATTTGGCAAAGATGCAATGCAAAATAATCAGTCAACCATCCTAAGAAGTTTGTGCTCGTGACTCCTGAAATTGAAGAGTAATAATTGATATTTGCATTCAATTGAATCCTTGATTGTACATTGGTGCCTTTTCAGTATTCCTTTTCTGGTAGCTATTTCAGCTTCTCTGCTAAAGTTTATTTGGTTACTAAATGGATCGGAAATACTTTTCTTTCATTAATTTTTCCCAAGAAAATGTCGCTTATTGCTGTGAAGTCTGTTATTCTAATTTTGATTACATGGTTATTCCTAATATTTAGTAATACCTTTGATTACTTTTTAGACTTGTTTGAATCATGTTGGAAAAGGTAACCGAGTACCTAGTAGCTACATTTAGTCGAGCTGAAAACTGTCATCTCAACCTCTTTCTTCTAATTCTCTTCCAAGTTTCACAACCTTAGCTTTCCCAAATCATTGCACCTTCACTTTCCCAGATATCAATTGAACTTTCGTGATATCTGGCCCTCACCAGATTCTCGCCTTTAAACGATCTAAATAGCGTCTCTGTATTAGAGACTGTTTCAATTGATAATCGCAAAATGATATGGTATCGTCTCGTATAATTCGCTAGTAGAATGTTCGTATCTCAAATCTTATAGTTCCTTATAGACTCCATAGCAACTCGGTACTTTTGATTCTCTCACAAGCCCTAGCTAACTTCAATCCAATCCATGCAATTCATCTAAATTACGGATTAATCGGTTCTACATTCCTAAGTCCTGCAATCATGATAACTGAAGCAATAACTTATACTCTTTCGATATATGCTAAAACGGCTACTATCTTTCGAATGCAAATGTCAAACTCGCAGCTCAATTCCTAGCTCACCTACGTATCATAAGAAACACATGCCAGTTGATATCCATTGGCAAAGGTTTGTCTCACCCTAGTGACTAACAACTTGCCAGTCAAAACCATTCCGTCTCTGGCTAGACACCTCTTCTTAGCCTCTCTTCTATCGTAGACCTTTCACAATCTATTCTTTGTTCTCAAAAATGATATTTGTGTTATGAAAGCACCACTCTCTACCTGTTTATTATTCCAATGTCAGTGTCTTAAGTCATGTATCCTCCAATAATAAACTGCCTATCATCTAAGATCATATGCGTCCAAAATCCTATGCATTCCAATGGCAAACAATACATAAATGTTACCACCAATTGCAGACGTTCCCATTCTCAACTGTATTTTTGGATATTATTTTGTGCAGACACGGACGGCGTCCAGAGACGAATGAGACACCCACTGGTACCTTTTTTGCTGGAACTGCCCCCAATGTAACGAGTCAGGTCATGTGGCTACACATGCTCTACACTTCTTCTCCGACGGCTTCCAATGTCCGCAACAGAATAATTTCTCCGCATTTTGAGCCTCTTATCTAAATTAAAAGGTCGAAGCTTACAACAGTTCACAAACACATAAGAAAACATGCCCAAAGCTTCAAATTTTGAGACTTCATGCTTTACATACTTTGAGTGCATTCATAAGTTTGGGGGTGATGTGAGTTTAAGCTCATATGGAAGTTTTCTTCAAATGGCACCTAAATCGACTAATAGATACATACAATTGACATAGCAAACGTAACGATATTTATATAAAGAAAAATACTCACTATTTTATGCACTATAATATTTTTCAATATTTAGCACGCACATTGCTATACGCTCCATCTGTCTCAAAGTTGTTTCCAATGGAATCTCAATAGAAGTGTGGTGCACGTACTTTCAACAAGCAACGACCAATAATAATTCATTGCCTCACCATCCATTTATCTTAGCAAAATATCTCTTTTAAAGTGAGAAACTATTTAATGGCACTCATAATTATCAATCAATTTTTTTTTTTATTGCATGCATTCTCCTTGATGTCACAGCCATGGTCCAGTACAATGCATTTAGTACTCGACTCACATCTTCCTACCCTTGTATGGAAGTGTTATCTAGCATCTATTGTTTCACCACTTGCGCTGAATACTAAGCTCTTGCATGATGCCTATAGACATATTTCTAATAGATTTCTGCCTGAACTATGTTCAGGAGATCGGCAGGGCCTCATTCTGATGGTTGAGAAGTTATACACACTGAAACCAGAATTGAGCTCCCGAAACCAAAAGCTCTACCAATCTCACTGCTGGCGCTCCTATCCTCTTCCCATTCCTCTACCTTTCCGTCCATCTTCAATAACCGCGTAGGAGCGGGCTACGGCGAACGTGTCTACGACCGACTCATAGGAGCTGAGCGACGGGGTTCTTGGAAAGTTGAGTCAATTGCCCATGGCTTGCTCGGCTTCGATCCACAGCGCCAGTCAAGCCATTATAGAAGACAAGGCTCGGCAGTCTGCGTAAGATTTATGGCTTGCAGAGAGGACGGATTTGGCATGTAGAGTGCTCAGAAGCTTGGGGATTTGGTAAAGAGGAGGTGGAGGGAATGGGGGAAGCCTTGGGAAAAAAATGATTGTTGTTAAGATCCCAGATGCTTGTGGAGCATCATTCAGAATTTTGATCAATTAGACGCATCTTGCTGATTTTATTAACTTATTATTGCCTTTTGCTTTGATGAAAGTGGTGACGTTTGAAATGTTTTGTTTTATTGGTGCTTTCTTGAACCGCAATTGATTAGTTGAATTAGGCTTTATTCACCATTTTTAATTTTTTTATTTTCTTGCAAATTTAGAAAGATGCTTCTGCTATTATCGGTGGTCTGATCTGTTCCCCCTTCTTTTGACTAATTATTCTTGTAATCCGGACATGGGATGTAAAATCTCCTGATGATTTTGCATGTTTATTACCTTTATGTCTATTTGCTGCTTTTACAAAAAGAAAGCAACCATTTTTAATATTTACTAATAATTGAATATTGTTTATGTTTATTGATTGTTTTCATCATGTAAAACATAAAAGTTAGTAAAAAAGGCATTCTAATATAAATTATTTGTTTGTCCTTTTACTGTACTTTGCAAAAGCATCAAAAGACAGATAAAAGTCGGCAACAAATCCAAAGCTCTCTTTTGATTGTCCGCAATTGCGCACGGAATAATTTAATCTCCTTTTAGTTCTGCTGCGTATTTCATAGTAATAATACTAATACAAATAACTTTCTTCGCTTATGTGTAGGTTCCTCTCTCTCTCTCTCTCTTAATATTTTTATATAATTATATATAATATATATATATATATATATATATAATATTATTATATAGGTTAGCTCTGTGATCATTTCAGGAGCTACTTACTTTTATATATGTATATATAACTATATCTTGTTATGATTTAAAAAGTTAGCATTTGTTTAATGTATTTTTTAACTATTTTGAAAATTTTAAAAACATATAATTAATATTGAAAAAAGAAATACTTTTGTCTGCTTAATAATTGCATAATAAAAATGATATTTAAAGATCAATGATCGCACAATTAAATCAATTTTCATTTCCATAGAATTGCCCATCCGTTTAACTCCTGAAGGGATTGGAAAACAGTTCAAGTCAAAACAGAATTCAGAGTTGATAAAAAAATGAGGAAGGAAAGGTTCAACCATTTAGGTTTTCTATTTAAGGACAGAATTTTTTATATATATTTTTTGCTGTTTAAAAAAATTTACTTTTTTTTGTGCTTTTGTAAAACACAGTTTTAAAAAACATTAGTTCAGAAAATGGAGTTTTCTAACGGAGAAGCACATTTAAAAAGCATTCTCAAAACTGCAGAAAAATGAGAAAAAAGAATTATTGGGAACGTGATTTGACGAACCAAACAACACAAAAAAAAATTCTTCCGTTTTAGGAAACGGAGAAGGCAAAAAAAAGCTCAAACAAACAAAGCCTGAATCTCAAGAGCCCAATATAACCACAATATATATGAGAGAGAGAGAGAGAGAGAGAGAGAGAGAGAGAGAGAGACCTACACAAGCAAGAACTGTATTATTAATATATTACTATAAATAGCAGCGAGAAATTAAAAGGAAGAAGAAATTATTCTGTGCGGACACCGGACAGAAAGAGCTGTTCGGATTTGTTGCGCTTTTATTGTTCTTTTACTGCACTTTTATAAAAAGAAAGGAAAAGGACAAAAAATATTCAATTATGAATGTGTTTTTACTGCCCTTTTATTATGCTCTTGCAAAAGGGCAACAAAAGTGCAACAAATATTCAATTATTCAGTAAATATTAAAAAGTTGTTGTCCTTTTGTAAAAGCGCAGCAAATGAACAATAAAAACAAAGCAAATCCGGATGATTTTTTGAATCCAATGTCCGCACAAAATAATTAGTCAAAAGGAAGAGGGAAACCGATCAGACCACCATATAGCAGAAGCATCTTACTCAAATTTGCAAGAAAAAAAAATTATAAATATGTGAATAAGCCTAATTCAACATAATCAATAGGTTCCCAAAAAAGCGCAATAAACAAAACATTTCAAACGCCCACCTTTCATCAAAAGCAAAATGGCAATATATAATTTACAAAACTCAGCAATCATGCTAATCTGAATCAAAATCTGATGATGCTCCATAAGCATTGGGATCTAACAACATCATCATTTTTCCCAAGGCTTCCCCCATATCCTCCACCTCCTCTTTACCAAATCCCCAGCTTCTGAGCAACTCTACACCAAATCCTCCTCTCTGCAAGCCATATCTACGCAGACTGCCCAGCCTTGTCTCTATAATGGGCTTGACGGCGCTGCTGGATCGAAGCCGAGCAGCCATGGGAATTGACTCAACTTCCAAGGAACCCCGTCGCTCAGCTCCTCTGAGTCGAGTCGTAGACAGTTCGCCGAGCCGTCCTACGCGGTTATTGAAGATGGACGGAAAAGGTAGAGGAATGGGAAGAGGACAGGAGGCAGCAGTGAGATGGTAGAGCTTTGGTTTCGGGAGCTCATTCTGGTATTCAGTGTGTATAAACTTCTCAACCTCAGAAATGGAGGCCCTTCGATCTCCTGAACAAAGTATCAAGAGCAGAAATCTATTAGAAATATGCTATAGGCATCAAGTGCAAGAGCTTAGTATTCAGGCAATGGTGAACAATAGATGTAGCATAACACTTCCATACAATTAAGGGGAGGGATGGAGTCAGTACTAAAATGCATTGTACTGACCAAGCTGTGAACATCAGGAGAGATGCATGGCAAAAAAAAAATTGAGTTCATAATATATATGCGCATTAAATAGTTTCTCACTTTCAAAAGAGATAATTATTTGCTAAGATAAATGGATGGTGAGCAATGAAATTATATTGTCGTTCTTGTAAGCTCTCCACATCTTTATAGATTCCATTGGAAAAGAATTTTGAGTAGGGCAAAATGTGATGACCTAAATATTTAAAAATATTTGAGTTCACAAAATATAACTTTTTTCTTTTTTAAATCCGTGTATTCAAGTTTTATAGATCATCATCCATTGCTTAACTCACATCACCCCCAACTTATGATCACTCAAAAGTATGTAAAGATGAAGTCTCAAATTTGAACATTTGGGATGTTTTCTGTATGTGTTTGTGAACTGTTGTACGGTTTCGACCTTTTTATTTAGATAAGAGCTCAAAATGCGGAGAAATTATTCTGTGCGGACATTGGACCGTCCGGAGAAGAATGAGAGTGTGCCACATCACCCGGTACACAGCAAAAAAGTGACGTGGCGTGCTCTCATTCGTCTCTGGACGCCGTCCGGTGTCTGCACAGAATAATTAATCCAAAATACATGGGAGTTGAAACATGGGATGGACGTTGCAATTGGTGGTACATTTATGTATTGTTGCACATTGAATGCATAGATTTGCACCATATATCTTAGATGTAGGCAGTTTATTTTGGAAAAGGAATACATGACTTAAACACTACCATTGGATAAATAACAGGTAGAGAGTGGTGCTTTCATAACCAAATATCATTTTTGAGAACAAAGATAGATTGTGAAAGGTTAGATAGAAGAGGGCTAAGAAGAGGTTCTACAAGAGACAGAATGGTTTGACTGGCAAGTTTTTAGCTCACTAGTGGTGGAAAACCTTTGCCATGATATCAATGAGCATGTTTTCTTCATGATACATTAGTGGTGGAAAATTGACATATCGAGTTTTAAAATTTCATTGAGAGATTTAGGGTAGGATTTAATGCAATATGAAAGAGTACTAGTTATTGCTTCTAGACAATTAAATCATGGGATTGAGGTTTGGGAATGGTAGACCATTAATGTATTATTTCATGATTGAATGCATGGATTTCGGCAATGTGACGTTAGCTAGAGGTGGCTTCTTGTGGAAGAGGAATGCAAAAGTTCCATTACGCATGGGATAAATAAAGGTTGAGAGGTTCTTGCAATCATTAATCAATTTGAAAAGCTAAAAGAGATTGTGAAAGCTTGGGAGAGCTAAGAAGTTAGAAGAGAAAGATGGGGTTGTAAGAAGGATTGACAGTTTTCAGCTCACTAATGGTAGCTACTAGTTACTTGGTAACCTTTTCCAAACATGGATTCAAACAAGACTAAAAAGTATCAAGGTATTACTAAATATTGGAAATAACATGTTATCAAAATTAAAATAACAGACTTCACAGCAATAGCGACATTTTCCTTGGGAAAAATTAATATAGAAAAGTATTCTCTCCATTTAGTAACCAATAAACTTTAGCAGAAGAAAGCTGAGAATAGCGTCAAGAAAGGAATACCTGAAAAGGCACCATGTACAATCAAGGATTCAATTGAATGCAAATCATCATTATTCTCTTCAATTTCAGGAGTCAACGAGCACAAACTTCTTAGGATGGTTGACTGATTATTTGCATCTGCATCTTTGCAAATTAGGACTTTACAAAGCTTGACAACAAAAAATAGAGATATATATCACAATACAAACCATTCAAGAAATGGGCTGGCATTGCTAAATCCAAAATGGTTATCATGTTTTGCCTAGCTTGTCCGGCTAACATCTGTACCATCCCACCCACATCCATTGCACCAGAAATATACAGTGTTTCTGCATTCACTCCATGCGATTCCATCCTAAAGGGAATACTTATTGAGTGTATTGAAGCAGCATAAATAGCACTACTATGAAAAAGCTTCTGGTCTTCAACAAATAGTGTAGATGAGAATTTACCTTCAGAAGGGAAGTTATCCATTATCAGAAAAGAAAAGAAAAACATATAAATGATAGATTAAGAAATGCAAGAAATAAAGAAAAAAATTTTAACGGTAACTTAATATCAATCAAAAGAGAAAATGTTTCATTTGGAAGGAATCAGTTACAGTAAACTGCATTTTTAACTTGAAAAGAAGAAACTCTACACACAATACTTTAAGTTAAGAAAAATATGATGAATGCAATATATTAGTATTAGCACACCAGTTACAAGCACTGAGAAGTAGAAATACTACTATTTCCACATAACTACCACTCCCTAAGGGTATATATGCATGGAAGCCTCCACGGAAATAAGTGATCAAATGCATGAATCTGCACTAAAGAAACTGCAAAAACAGATGAAAATCGCCCACAAGAAAACTTTTAATAGATCTATATTCTATCCAATACAATTTTAATGATAAAAAGCTCGAAACCAAATATAAATCAGTAATTTAAAGATAAACATAAGGATGCGTACTTCTACTCAAAGAAGGCAACCCGACTGGTACCATCAGTTTACAACAAGAAGATAGCCTTGAAAATGATACAGCATCATGAAGAGCTCTTGAAACAGACTCCTTTGGGCTTTTTCCAAGTTTATAAGAAGCTGGACTTCGTGCTGAATAGAGCAATACAGGTGTATTTGAGTACTCATCAGCAATGTCCTCCAAGAAACCAGCAGCAATGGCTGAAAAACCTCCTGAGTCGTCAACAATAAATTGGATACCCTGTAAAACCAGCAACCCAACAACATAAGATTATTGCCACAATAGCATCATCATGATCATAATCAGCCTTCTTATAACTATTTGGGAATGACTTCATGAATACACATTTTTCATTCATTCCTGTTGAATGTTGCCTTAGATGTTAAACCTATTTTTCGCAAATCATTTTAAACAACATCTATCCATGTACCTTTGGTCTTCCCCTTCCCCTTCCTAATTCTTCAACAATATTTTCTCTACTCTTCTAATAGGTTAATTTTCCAAATAAATTAGTAAGTTAGCTCACATTCGAGATCGCTTAATTGCACAATGCCTTCCCTCTTCCTATAATGGCATGACATCTCACTTTTTCAGTAATAAATGGGCTCATATTCACGATTTCACAAGGAATGTCAACCCACATATTGCTAAGTTGAAGGGTACAGTCCCTATTTTATTGGAAGGAATCAACCCATGGATTGTTGAGGTGGATGCTATGGTTTTTATGTAGTAAACTTTAAATTAAAAAAATTGCCGCAATATAGTACTTTCCTTTTGTTCTTAGGACATGTTTATTTCTTCCCTATTTTTTCTCATTGTAATAAGGGAGCCAGAGTTCAGCCAACAAGGAATATGGAGTATTGGACTTTTCCTCCTCCCTATTTCTCTTCTACTTCTTAACAAAACTATAGCTTCTTAAGAGAAAGAATTAAATATTTTAAAGGAAAGCTAGCAAAATAAACCTGGATGTGATCGCATTCCTCAATAAAGAACCTCAGCCTTTCATTCATCTCTTCACTCTGGAAACCAGCTGACAGGATTTCTTCTCCAATTCCATAGTTATCAAATTTCTCAACATCAGTCCAGGAACCATGTAGCTCATACAAGCTACGTGGATGAAACTGAACTTTAGAAAAGTCTGTCCAATACTGAACTCCATTTTCAAGGCATTCAATGCGCTCTTTATCCGTGATCTGCCTTTGGGGATGGCTACTTCCTTGATCTGCAACATTAGAAGTAAGATTTGCTGTCCCTTCTTCACACAAACTTTGCAAAAATATGTTCTTTTCTCGAGGTTCAGCTGTGTATCGGGTTACATTGCCAGGCCTGAACAACAATGACAACTATATTAATCAGTATAATAGTCTAGAGAGAAGCAGATGTGACAAGAACAAGAAATTTACCTGCAATTAGCAAAATGAAAGTTGAAACAAATTTGATGTACATACAAGAAAAAAATACAGGTGACTAAACAAGTGATTAAACATTACGAAAAGTAAAGAAAATAAGATAGAGGTTCAAAATATTGAAGAAACACTTAATGTTTTCTCTACACAATCTGATGCAATACCATTTTCAATCTGATGCAAGAATCGATGGTTGTCAAGAAGAAGTGGAATCAAAAGGTTTCTGATTAAGGTGATTCCACAACTACTGGATATAACTTCTAATTTGATCATTGCCACATCTCAAAACACAATAGAGGGAAAGACCGGAAACTTCATCCAAAAATTCCTCAAAGTTCAAGGTTTCAAGGAGAAAAATGTGGCATTGGATCGAATTCATGGGGTGCATTGCAAGCAAACAAGGTGCAAGCGATCAAGAGTTGAAATGTAGATTGCGGCTGCAGTTTTGAGCAGGTGTTCTAATGCAAGAAGATCACAAGTGAGGGCGAGGGCGCATGCTTGTGCGAGTGAAAACTTGTTGGCACGGTAACGATTTAGGCAAGAGTGTAGGTATCAACAAGAGAATGCACGCTAGCATTGAGAGTGATCATGGAAGGTCGGTGTGGTAGCATGAGCATTGAGAACATAGAGGTCATAGACAGGAATGATGAAGGCAGGGCCAGGCAAGGTCACAAGTGTTGGCAACTTGATGAGGGAATGGGGAGAGCATGGACGACAAAAAAAAGGAAGGGAAGTCAGAAGATAAGGTTAACCTTGCTCTCATGAAATGTTAGACAGAAAATTACTTCTTGTGTATTACTTTAAAATGGACCCTTCTCTATTAATCCAAGTTACAACAAACTGACTCCACTAACCATATTTAGAGCAATTTCCTAAAATAATGTTTCCTACACAAACACATGCATTTGTGTGATCGTACATAAATGTGTCTGGTAGAAGGGAGGGTTACACATCAAAATCTTCAACCAACTGCAGTGATGAGAGACTGAACGAAGAAATTTGTTTCATGGTAAACCCCTCTTATGTACCTACTTGTCCTTGGATCTGGCTACATGGAAAATAAATATAAAAATTTCACCGTCATCCCATTCCTACAAAAGGACAAGATTTTCCAAAACACTTCAGGCATGGAATGAGTATTCTTTTACTAATATTCACGACAAGAACAATCGTATGAGCATTGTTAAAATCATGGTAAAGAGTTATGAAGGAATTTGAAAATACTGAAGTAAAATGCAACCCCTACAGTTTGTTTCAGTCTAAAACATGGAATCAAACATATGTAATTTCCATATATTCATAAAACTTGAATGATAACTACTCCTAGTTTAAAATTTTGCATGAAATGAAGGTTAAAGCAATTGGAGCGTTTGGCATACATACCGAATTAGCAAACAAAAGAAAAAAAAAATCAATATCTCAAAAGGAATTTGCTATTGGATGATACTCCCCATATTCTTTTTTCAATTTAGGACTTAAATCCAATTAGTTCACTGCAATTATTCACTAAAAATATGAGAGAGCATCTCTGTAATGAAGCACGGGCTTTTCGGAACCCACATTTCCCGTAGTAGTTGCAATGACGGTTTCTGAGTACCATTTAGATTGTAAATACGCCAGCTGGTAGAATTCGATTTCCCCATGCTTCTCTAGGTATTTGGTTATTTTCAACTAACCATCGAAGCTTAGTTAAGTCCATTCTTGATGGACAATATTAGACAATATCATCACATTTTACTTGAGAAAAATATTGATGCGCAGTTCTAGTGAGATTATATAATTTAAAATTGGACATTAATAATGCACAAAATAAAACATCATTGTCCTTTGTTACGTGTATTGTGCTGTTAGAAAATAATGTTTAAACAACCTGATTAGCATAAAATATGTTACAACTACATATACAAAATAGAGAAGAAACTGAAACCAACACAGACAAAAGAAAAACAAAATGCCCAAGCAGAATATAAGAAGAATAATGACATTACCAACGTCCATATCCTTGAAAAATAAAAGTGATAAAATAATGCATCGCAAAAGCGTTTTGGAGATGTAATTCATTGAGTCAGATAGACCCTTGCCCATAAAAGCAAACATAAAACAGAATATACCGTGTAATGCTCATAGAGGATGTAATTTTGCATTGACAATAAATGCGTACTCAAGGAACCAGCACATAGATTGAATGCTAACGTTAAAAAAAAAGAGCTTTCATCCATCATTTCTTGGATTAAACAGTCAGAGAAAAGGAAAACCTCACCAGGTGACAATCTCTAAGGTATCAGGCTGTGAAATTCGAGGGTTTAATGAACCTGAAGAACTCAAGGACCCAAGTGTTCCTGCAAAGGACATTTTGACGCTCAAACAATCTGGAAAGAACATTGTAATTTCCATTAATACTGAGATCACCACTCAGAAAGAGTGATAACCTACTGCAAATTGCTTTATATGGCCTATAATTAGTGGATTCATTGTTACCTAGTACCTCCATGAGCTAAAGTGATAACTGTAAATCTAAATAGAATGTGCAATTAAGTTCTATTATAAGCAAATAACCTCACATCAGTGCCATGTAAAATCATCTAGTCTGTCTTAACTGTTAGTTGCATGCTATATAATTAGTATCTTGCATATCATATTTGATAGAAAATAGGTAAGAGTTTAGGTGAGTCTCATTAATTAATTTATGCACAAATCTAAAGAGTCTCACTTTATAACTTGTAGAATCCTCAAATATCTTAAATGAAGTCTTAGTAAAAGAACTATCTATAATAAGCAAGATACTTCATAAATTAAAGGGTATATTGATGCAGATAATGCAGGATTACCAATGGATAGAAGATCCATGATTGGATATTATACATTTTTTGGGGAAAATCTCATAACATGGAAACCTATTATTTCAAGATCTAATATTGAATGTAATTTTAAAGCCATTGCCCAAAGAATTAATGAGCTTCTATGGATCAAAATCATTTTAAAATATTTAAAAATCAAATGAAAATGGTAAATAAAGATATACTTCAATAATAAATCTACCATTAGCATTGCTTATAATCTAGGATAAATGATCATAGCAAGCATATGGAGGTGGATAGAAGTTTCATAAAAGAGAAATTAGAAATGGACTGATCTGCACTTTATATATGCCCATAGGAAATTAACTTTTAAACATGCTCAACAAAGGACTCCGTAATCCCATGTTAAAAACTATTATAAGCAAATATGGAATAGTGGATTTATACCATTTAGTTTGCGGGGGAGTGTTGAAGGATAGTGAAGCCCACAAGTAAACAATCTTGGCAGAGATCCTTAAGCATATAGATTATGGGATCTAGTTGTTGGGTCGATCCTCTAATGGTTCTTAGATTGCAATCCATATATCCCCTTTTCCTATTCTAGCAATCAATCCCACTTGAATACTTTTACTTTTTTTTTTCAAATACTTTTAATGTATTTTCATTGTAATCCTTTTGTAGAACTCCATAAATATTTTCATATTTTATACGTAATCAAGCAATAAAATACATTGTATTTTTTTTCTGCCTTTCTGCTTTTTTGCATTTCTACAGTTAGTAACCGTAATTCATAAATAAAAAGACCATGATCTAGCTTAATAGAAGATAAACAAAGGCAAGACAACAAAGCCATTGGAATTTACTTTGCTAAATATCAGCATATCCATCAGGGAAAAGAAAATATCTCTGCAAAAATCAATGGTAAAAAAATTCAAATTGATTGAAAACAAACGAAGGCATGATACATCTTCCACTGAAAGAAAATCAGAAAATCACCTTTATAACCTATTGATAGCAAGCGCGGGCAGTAAGTAAGAATGCCCTGCACGTACAAAAATAAAACATTACTAAACTTGAAATTGATAGTCACATGAGTCGATGTGCAGAAATGTTAGCAGTTGCAATACTTATATCTTCTTAAAAATTGTAGACGTAACATTAGGTTGATGATTAAGTTATGGGAATTTGGGAAGTAACTATTCTAAATATATATCAAATTTGAACTATTCCATGTGAAACATCAGCAATTAAAACTACAAGAGTAGATGGAGCCAACTAAATGAGTATTTAACTTCATATAAAATATACTTGCCATCATCATTCAATTTTCATTTTGAGTAACCATTTATACCAAGCAAAAACTAAAATATGAGAAAGCCCAGACATTAAACTTCAATGTCAAACAGAGTCTGCAATCTTTTTTTCTAAATAGAGGACAACCACCTCAAGGACAACAAGAGGATCATCAGAAGGCGGCTTGAAACTTGATGAGAACATCATTCATATTTATATATCAAGTTCGAACAAAATAACCCTGACCAACCAAATGTTCGGAAATGGCTTTAAATGAACAAAAATGGCAGTTAATATGAATGTATTATTTAGCAAAGCATAGATAATGATGAAAACAACAGTAAATGATGGAGTGCAACATATGGGGCTATAACTATTTTTGAAGAACATTCCAATAGGTACATAGGCTCCGGCAATTAGCAATGCCTTCAAACCATTTAAGTGGCTTGGGCTTAACCAAGTCAGGGCACATGATCTGGAAGCCTAGGATATAATCTACCCAAGGCAATCAGAATTTTATCACAGTTCCATAAAGTAAACCCCAAAGAATTCGGTAAGGCAAATGATGCTGATGATGATAAAATTATAGAAGCCAAGATTTTAATTTGATTTTAATTTCATTGTTAGAAGACAAGCACTAAAGGATTCATGTCATACATTAAAATTATAAAAGAAAGTAATTGAAAATAGGTTACAGTGTGATAATAATATTTCTCAAAATTAATTTGGATTTATGTCGGATAAATCTACTATAGAAGCTATATAGTTGAGAGGTTTGATCGAGAATTATAGAGAGTGTAAGAAGGATCAACATATGATATTTATTGAATAAGAGAAAGCATATAAATATAATAAAGCTCCAAGAAAAGTGCCCTCGAGATTTCTAGAAAAGAAATGAGTTAATAATGCTTATATTCAAGTCATTAAATATATGAATATGAGAGATGTTATTTTTGTTCAAATATAAGGTGATTTGACGAAGTATTTTTTTTATTTTAATTGAATTACATCAAGTTCAACTTTAAGCTCATATCTTTTTGCTTTAGTCATGAATGTTCATACTAGACATTTACAAGAAGATGTATCTTGGAGTATGTTTTTTAATGATGATATTCTTCTTATTGATAATACTACTGTCACAACTTAGCTAGGGGTCTTGATTTAATGAGGTAGGAATAGATGATCGAACATGTCGTTAAATTTCATTCGTTAAGATTTCAACTATTTCCAATATACTGAAAAAGCAGCTATAAACTTTAAATGCATTTTAAAAAATATTATAATTATTTCAACAATTACCTTTCCCTTGAAGCGATGTGCAGATGTTATCTCATCTTCCACTCATTTAAATGCTTTGAATACCTATAAATATTTGCACATATAGGAGTGAGTCATAACTCAACTTAATGAGTATGTTGTGCTTCTAAATTTACAGTAATATAAGATATTTTGATCAACATGCATGCTTGCCATTAAAATATAAAGTAACTTTATTTAATAATATTTAAATTTGGAAATATACATCAATCATATCTTATGCATATATGTAATACTCATATTTAGTCATAACTTCTTCTACAACTAATACAACCATAACAAAAGACACGCATAAAAAGTACCAATAAATGTACTTCCATTTTCATTCCTGCAATGCTTTATGGTTCTGAATGTTGGCCATTAAAAGAGAAGCATAATACCAAGTTAAGTGTTGCAGAGATGAGGATGCTTAGGTGGATGAGTGGCTTTATTCTTAGAGATAGGATTCAAAATGAGCATATACGTGAAAAGGTTGGAGTAGCTCCTGTGGAAGATAAGATTAGAGAGAGTCGCCTCAAATGGTTTGGACGCATTAAACGGAGGCCTTTCGATGACCCGATTAGGAAAGTTGAGGTATTAGATTTGACTTATGTTAAGAAAGGTAGAGGTAGACCTAAAAAGACTTGGTTAGAAAATATTATAAATGATCTTTCTTTATTAGATTTAAATGAGACTTTGACTTTTAACAGGACACAATGACGAAAAAGGATTCATGTAGCCGACCCCACATAGTGGAACAAAGGCTTGTTGTTGTTCTTCTTCTTTTTTTATTTCATGCGCACAGGTACATTACATTCCTAGCCAGTACCATAAGTGAGTTTATTCCATCATTAAATCAAGCATGTGCAAACATTTATACATAATTATTTTATTTACATTCTTCATGCATTTCATATTGATGTGTAGAAACCATATAATATATGATAAGTCATAGATTATGATATAAAATTCATACCATTCAATTTCAACATGACAAATGGTTGTTAACAAAGATAATTCATAAAGCAATAATAGTCTGTGATTGATGAATCAGATTTCTAAAAATAATAATAAATTTCATTTCTGTAAATTAGAATATGAATACTCACCTCGAAATCAGATGTTTGAATTGTCACTCTTACTTCTTACTCCCTAAATCCTAAACCCTTGAACCGCTAAAAAATTCTACTCAAATTTAATTTTTCTTCTCTTAAATAATAATTTATTACTTAACATAATAATAAATTAATTAACTAATTAAAATTTCATATATTATTGAATTTTAGTGTGGTGATGTGTGTGTGTTTGTATGTAATATATATATATATATATATAATTTAAGGAAAATTTTATAATGTAATTATTATTTTTAATTGATTATTACCATTTTCACTCCTTAACACCACTACATCAACATGCAATCTCATAATTTAATGTTATTTAAGTATATTTAATATTAATAATTAATATCTTTAATTTAATACCAAACATCAACATAATTGAATTAGTCTTTTATTTATTTAATTTTTAAATATTTATAGCATTAAAACTTATCTAAAGTATAAATTATAAATCTTCTATTATGAACATATAAAGCTTTTATTGATACAAATAAATTTTCATTCAATAGGTACATCTTTACAATTTTAAATTTATCCTCTCGCACAAAATAACTATTATATCATTGACAATTAGTGTTCCTATCTTATTTTAAATCTATTTAAATAATAAATAACATTGCTCTTATATATTTCTTATCATATAAATACTTCTAACTCATAATTTATATAAGGGGATATTTGGTTGTTTGAAAATGGAGTACAATGTTAAAGAAATACTTTGAATTTGTTTGAATGATTGCAAAAGGAATGTATGAGATTATTTATTTTTGTTTGTTTTGAAATAAAATGAATGTAATAAAAAGTGTAAAAAGGAAGCAGTCAGTGACTGACATTGACGAAGATGTGGTCACTGAAAGGCTGCAATGGTGGTCAGCGGTGGGTGGTTGGCGATGGTGGTGGCCCGAGGTGGTGGGTGGCCAACGATGGTGAGCCGCCAGCGGCGATGGGCAGTGGAGCAGTAGGCGGCCACCGGAGGTGGTGGGTGGCTGACGATGTTGAAAGAAGATGGTGGCGGGCGGCCAGTGGAAACCGGCGGTGGCTGGTGGCGGTCGATCATGGTTGACGACTGGCGATGGCAGCAAAAGGTGGCATCAATTGGAATGAACTTCTAGTGTATTTGGAACTCACTCAAATCGGAGGAATTCCAAATATGCCAAAAATGAACTTAGATGGTGCATTCCAAATGCACCAAAACTTTACTTTGCATTTGTTTTACTCAACCAAAGGCCAATATTTTCAAAACCCCTCATTTGGATTTCTATACACTCCTAATGCAGGCAACCAAACAGCCTCTAAATGTTTTCTAAATCAAATCTCTTAATTTATGAATATAAATAATTATTAAGATAATATTTTAAATTTTGTAAATAGCAATATTTCATAATTTATCCCCCCTCCCCCCAACACAAATGTTGCTCGTGCCCTAACCACTTGTCTGAGCACATCTTCCTCTCATCAAGTTCGTCGACCAAGCCCTCGCTTTCTAGTTCACCCATCTTCTCGACTAATCTCCACCCTCGATAGCTAATTTGCATATTTATAGGTACAAAACCTTCTCTTCATCTTCTTGTGACTCCTCGTTTTCATCTCCCCCGACACCAAGCGACGTAAACAATTCCTCCTTCGACTTCATTGACACTAAACAATTAGTTCCTTCATCTTCCTTGATTCCTAATGACAAAGGTGATGCCTACGAGTTCGAGATATTACAACTAAAGTGGGAGAAGATGAAAAACATGAATTATGGAGATCAAGCTTAGATTCTAAAGGTTTTCGTTTGAGTAAATCAAAACTGAATACATAATGTAATTTTAGTAGTAATAGATCTAGTTGTAAGATTGTGATATTGATATTGGGTGATCGAGCCTTTAAAAAAAATGCACATTTTAGATATCTCAGATCTATTATTCAAAGCAATGGTGAAATAGATGGATATTATTAGTAGAACTCAAGTTGGATGGTTGGAGTAGAGGAATGCATCAAGCCTGATATGTGATAGAAAAGTACCCCTAAAACATAAGAAAAACTTTTGTGAGATCGTAGTGAGTCTGCAATGATTTATGGAAGAGAATATTGGCCACTAAAGAGAAGCAAAAAATCAAGTTAAGTGTTGTAGAGATGTGGATGCTATGGTGGATGAGTGGTTTTACACTTATAGACAATGAGAAATGAGAGTATAAATGAAAAGGTTGGAGTAGCTCTACTAGAATATAAGATTAGAGAGAGTCATCTTAGATAGTTTGATCACATAAAACATCAGCCTTTCCATGACCTTGTTAGGAGAGTAGATGTATTAGATCTGGACTATGTTAAGAAAACAGAGATGGACTTAAAAATACTTAGTAGATTAAAAATGATATTTTTTTAATTAGATTAAAATGAGAATTTGACTCTTAATAGAATACAATGGAAGAAAAATATTCATATAGCTAACCCCAAATAGCAAGATAAAAGGCTTGTTGTTGTTGAAGACAAGTACTATCAAGTAAAACTAGAAGATACCAAGAGAAAAACTCAATGGTCTATTGAAAAGGTGAATTGCATGTTATGAAAGTTTTAACTTTCACTTCTTTCCCACTTCCCATGCGATGTTATCCCTCTTGTAATTGAACCTGTGCTTGCTGAATACTATTTTCTTAAGTGTCCAAACGACATTTAGATGTGGACAGAGAGCACTTAGCACTGTCGGTATATATATATATATATATATATATATATACAAATAGAAGCACATGAAGTAAATCAAACGGATATGGATACATGTATCATCCTTCCTTCCCAAGCAGTTTCGTCAGCTTCATAAGATCTTCATCAGGTAATGCTTAATTACAGCGCTCTTGTGAACCATTAATAAAAAAGAAAGCGAATTGGAATAGGGAAGACAATTTCATCAATCTCCTTCCATTTTTTGTAGCAAAAATACGGTGTTCAAATGAACCAGCTAGGTGAGTCATAAAAAGAGAATTGTAGGATAAAAAATAAATCATATAAGAAGATTTACAAAAGGAAAAGGCACAACATATTGGAAATTCTGTGAGAATGGCACTTGCTGAAGAAACATCATTAGAAATATATGGAGATCAAAATGGCACGTACAACCAGCATGAAAATGTATTCCTAAGAACAGATGTTATCTAAAGTTATCCATCCATGTTACCAGCACTACTCTGAACCAAGACTAAAGTGCGTGAAAATTCAGAAAAAAAGGCAACAAATCAAAATATGCAACCATCTACATTATTCATGCTGATGAACACAAGGTTGAAGCTGGGAAACTTGATGCTTAATAGGAATTTCATATAGATTCAAATTTCTAAATAATTTAGTCCAGCTCTTAGTGCCTTTCTGATGTTGCAGACTGACCCAGAAGGAAAATTTGCATACTTCTGATATAGTCTTTCAAAATCAATGCCTTCTAGTTTGCTATGAATCATGAAGTTATATGGCTCACATGAGCCTGTCTCTGAGGTCCTTAGCAGTGGTCAACAACAATTGCCAGCCCTGTGTATACCCAAACAATGTTGGGATTCCAACCTTTAGAAAGGACCAACCCGTAGAAGCCCCACCCCTAACCAAAAAAGAAGGTTGGGGAGCGAAAAGCAAGATCTAGGGTGACCGTTGATCTCTTTGAACTTCAACCCAGACCAACAAATGGATTTTTGTGGGAGGTTCAAACACAAAAAAACATAGCGCCCTATGGGGCAGTCAACAACCGGACAACAGCAAAAAAGAATCCATTGGGTGGGATTCATTTTGATGGCTAGAAAGTGAAAATTTTTTAAGTTTTTGTATAGCAATGCTCTTTACATTTTCATATTGATTAATGCTGATCCATCATGAAATACATAAAATATGAGGGGACTTAGAGAAACAATTTCCCAAACATAGACCTACCTCAAATATTCCCATACGTCAGAAAATCGAATGTAGATTTTTTAAATGACATGCTTAGTTATCAATCCAGCAGATCATAGTGTGAGAGAACCTGCACTTAATTGTCTCTCAAAAAAGTTCAGAAGGGATGTGCATCAAGTTTAGTTTGTGCACAAAAGAGCACCGCATTCTTCCCAAACTTAGCAGCTATACACAACCATGAAAAAAACTTAGGCAAAGAGGATAAAGCTAAGAAATTTTATAATCAAGTCTACCTGTGACGTTTCACCGCTTCGATAAAGCACATCCATGTTCAGCAACGAACTCTTGTAAACAGGATCTCCCTGAGGTTCTTCAGCCAACCCAAGCAACTCATCCTTCAGAATATGAAGACATTAATAAAACATTTCTGAATGCTATAGAAGGAATAAGGTATTTAGAGAAAACACAATTCTTTTAAAAATGCTATGTTCGTTGTTAGGCGTAAAAAATTAGGCCTTCTTGAGACATACATAATCATATCGCATGTATATGTACAAAGTGCAGAACAAAAGCATATCATAAATACACAATTAGATACATGCACTACATCAAACAAAGTTGGAACAAAGGCTCATCAAACACAATATAAGAAAATAGAGGAAAAGAACAAAATAAAAATGCTGACGTCCGCATCTATCTCATACTTTGAAATAATTGAATGTAATGATAATGATGAAGGATGGATGTTGTATCCCTAATATTAGGCTCAAAACAATTCCCTTGCACTCAAATCACTCAAACGTCGATCACCTCACAAAAGAAAATTAATAAAACCCCCTCATGATCTATTTGATCAACTGCGGTTAAAACAACCGCTAACATATGTGATGCTTCATGAGTGATGCAGGACATATATGAGATTACGATTAGATAAAGATTTTGCACGCTTAATGATTAAGAGCAAGTTTAATTAAATATTTATGGTGATTTAAATAAGGAAATAAAATACAAAAAGCAGTGTACACCAATGTTTAAAATTGCGTATTCGGGTATTGAGGCGTTTTTCATTCGTGAGGCGAGGCGTAAGCCTCAAGGCGTTTTGAGGCGTAAGCCTCAAAATCAAAAGATTGCGTAAACATAAATGATAATTTTTAATACACTAATGAGTGAATAATATAACACATAAAAAAACATAAAATATGAAATAAAACCAAAATATCTCAATAATAAGACAAAATGAAATATAGTTCAACTCAAAATTCTATCTTTCCCAAATCTCAGTATTTTTTTCATTAACATATAATTCTAATTTTAAAAAATAAATAGCAATGACATATCACATAAGAACTCATAAGTCATCAGCACTGTAATCACTTAGGGGTTCTTCATTTGAATCATCATTATAGTGAACTGCTCTCTCCCCTTCCTCCTCTCCTATAGAGTCCAATGTCGGACATTTACTTCAAGATTTATATAAGTTTTAATATATATAGCGTGAGGCGTAAGCCTCATGCCAGTGAGGCGAGGCGGGCTTCAAGGCGGGCCTCAACCAAGTTGAGGCGCAAGCCTCATAAAAAAAACTCGAAGCGTAAGCATCAAGGCGTTTTTTACTGGAATTGCGCAAAGGCGGGCCTCAAGGCGAGCCTCATATTGTGCAATTTTAAACCATGGTGTACACAAGCTTAGGTCAAGTTACTTGCGACAAGTAAAAACCACAAAAAAACCAATTACTATTATCGTTGCATACGAGATAGGTTTCAACAAGAAATCTCTAATCTAATAATAAGAGCGATGCTATGAAAGATCTCTCAACTAAAATCTCATATCATTCATCATTAGTCATCTCCCAAGAAGAGGAGGGAGTTAAATAGTCCAATACATGAAGGAAAAGACAAAAGACCCTGGGGCTTACAAATAACTAACCCCTCAAGTGAGGGCATAAATGGAAAAAGTACATAAATAAATCAAAATACATAAAACAACTCAAAAATAAATCGGCTCGATCGTGGCCGTAGATCGTCGGCCCCGCCTCTGGTAGACTTTCCAAGGCCTGATGTCCTCATCAATAAGCCTTATCTAAAATGCATCAACCATAACAACAACAAGCCTTTATCTCATTACGTGGAATGGATACACCACTATATGAATCATTATTCTCCATTATGTTCTATTAAGAGTCAAATTCTCATTTAAATTTAATAAAAAATTCTCATTTAATACTTGTCATTAAAATCTTTTTAGGTCTACCTCTAACTTTCTTAACATTGACTAGATCTTATACATCTCTTTTAACAAGATCATTGGAAGGCTGATGTTTTATATGACCAAATAATCTAAGGCGACGACTCTTTCTAATCTTATTTATTACTGGAGCTACTCCAACCTTTTCACGTATATACTCATTTTTAATTGTCTCTAATTATAAAGACAATCATCCACCTAAGCATCCTCATCTTTGTAGTATTTAACTTAATTTGTATGCTTCTATTTTAATGGATAACATTATGCACCATAAAGCATTACGGGTCTCACCTCCATCTTAAAAAAATTTCCCTTTAAGATAGAGGAATACTTTTCTATCACAAAACAGGTCTGATGCATTCCTCCACTTCAACCATTCAAATTAAATTCTACTAATAATATCTTCACTTAAGCCATCTTAAGTGATCAAACCAATCTCAAATTTTTCAAATTCAAAACTTTAAATGGTTTACATTTGTTATTAGTATTTTATTTAATATACCATAAATCTTTTTTAATTTTATTATGCAATAAAGGTTGATAATTTTAAATACCGCAATTCTTATTTTTAAGGCACTTGTCGCATTGATGTTGCAGTTAATAGAACACTTTTTTTTTTGCTTTATGCGCTTCAAAGAAGAAAACCACTTTTAATTATGAATTGTGTTTTCCACAGTAATAACACTGATAATCAATGACCGTGACATTATTCAAGATGATAGGACAATATATCATTAATTTGACTCGATCAGCATTGAAACTGAATACTATCCTTGCGGAAAAGAAACTGAGTAACATGTAAAATGCACTAAAACTTAAAAGTTTCTAGGTTCACAAAAAAATTGAAAACAGGGATATGCTTATAGCTCTCTAAACTTCGCCCAGTCACAACAGCAATTTTCTTCCATTCATATGTCATTCGTTTCACAAAAAATCAACTCGAGACAGAAAACCGTTTCCCGCACTCATAGTTGCAAGACATCACTTTTTTAGAGTTTTATTGTATAAATTGATGATCAAGATATTAACAGCACTTCAACGAACAAACACATTATAACTATATATGTCCTTTCCAAACAAAAAGAAAAACATCAAAGAAAATTACAGCAGAAAAAATGAAGAGCAACATTCTAAAACAACGCAGAAGGGAGTTTTAAAAAAAAAGTAATTATAAAAAGAAGAAAAAATTCCTTGGGAAAATGAGAGAGATGATCATTAATTCTTCATTAAGATTTTTATTTGAGCAAAATATTTACGTGCAAAAAGAACTTACATGCAATCTAAAGTATAGTTAAAATAAAATAAAAAAATCAAGACAGGTATTTGCAAGAGGTCAAGCATGAGAAATGTGTATGTACTGATAACGAAGAGTGTTTACATCTCTTATGAGAGTTTTTTAAAAATTTTAATTAGGACTACTTAATGCTGGTTTTGTTGGCGATTTAAAACATGGAGAAAATAACGATATTGTTCCAAATGGGTGCTTAGCAAGGCCTAAGCAAGAAATCTTTTAAATTTCATTGTTCAAATACAGCTCTCATAATTTCAATTACTTGGTGGCTGGTGCAAATAAAAAAAAGATGATTTTCTCAATAGTTTAATTAATGCATGTGCTAACTATGCATATATGAATTTATACATGTAAATGTTAAAATGCATGCATGTATGCACACATCCATGCATGAGTCCATATTTACGTATGCTTGAATCTACATATATGTGTGGCACAAAAAGTTGGAATAATAACTCTAATGGGATGAAAAAATGCCCCAAAATTAAGCTGAAAGCTCACTGAAATTGTACAGCTTATAAGCAGGAGATGCAATGAATTTGACTCAAGCCAGACATCAGCATTCACTATATTCATGTGTAAAACTTTTCAGAGAGGCTCTCGCAACTCTAATCAAATCTTTTGTTAAGTTTAAGAAATACCAGATTGGGTGAGGTTAAGACATGGAATTGACTGTTTATTTTCCAAAAATCAAGCTACAAAAAATAAAGAGCCCAAATTTATGCAGACTTGATGGCATTACAGAACAAGAAAAAGCATTGTCCAAATAAGCACAAAGAACCTGAAACTCAAAAATATTTTTTTAAATATTTTTTTACTATCATAAGGAACAGTACCAAAGGTATCATTCTATACAAAGATAACTTTTTCTGTTTTTCCAGTGACAACAATGACTAGAAAATAAAATTGTAAAGTCTACCTCAAATATATGTGATAAGATGGATGACAGATTATTTTCCTAAATGATGACAAAAAGTTCACATTTATTTTTAACACTAGTCATCGAAACAGAAGACTTGCATCAAAGTAGGATCATAAAATTATCGAGTACAAGCTCACATTACCTGAAAATTCCAATAATGTGAACCTATATAATTTGCAAATTCACCAACTTGAATTGTCACAATCTCCCTCATATCCTCAACCAACAGCAAATGTCAAATATTGCTACTGCTGCAAATATAAGATAGGAAAACAATCTTAAATTAACATGAATCAAGGGCAATACAATTCCGGCCTATCATACAGGAAATCCAAACTTTGAAAGGAAAAAAAAGTACATCAGGACCCTTACATAGGAATTCAATAGTTCTAAACTATGAAATATCAAATACACATTTAAACTAAATTGAAATTTTAATTTTGTCATACAAATGTGAATAAAAATAGTTTTAAGTTAGACAACCATAGCCAAATTCTGCCAAGTTCAAACGTGGACTTAAGCTTGGAAGTTGTTGTTTGGGAGGCCCCAGTTGAACGCTCTCATGTCACGCAGAGTAGTTAGAGAGCCACCATAGGTGATAGGCCAAGCTCTCTTGGGCTCGCACAGGTTGTTTGGCCAAATGAGTAGAAACAGCAAGTGTCTACCAGTTGAGAAAAGTATTAAGGGGTCGGCAAGCTGATGAGCTACATACAGGCCAGATTTTTATGAAGCAATGATAATTTTTTGGGTGGGATGTGAACTTCGAAAACTAATGAACTTAATACAAATTTGTTAGCCAGCTTGTCATCAGCCCCTTAATTCAAAAGCTGGTTCATAAAATTACTGAAATATGCTTAAAAATCTCATACATATAAAACATCACTCATAAATCTTTATATTTATTATTTTATTGTTTTTTATGGATACTTTTTCCTTGCCCAAAAATTGCCGTCTATATATGGATTATTTTTCTAGCCTTCCCTCAAATCATTTTTCATTCTATGCTTACAAATTATAACATGTACTTTTAACACTGGGCACATTCAAGAAATATTTCTACTTTGAAGACAAAGTCATTAGCTATGTACCATGCATAATACATAGAAATTGAAGACATGTCCATTTATTGTGGCAGTAAAATTGTGGCAGTACAAATAAAACAGGAATGCACACTTATATTACGGTGATTAAAATTGGAAATACATATTGACTTTAAGTTACAAATGATATTAAATCATATATGAAAAGTGAAAACTAAAGAACAAAATATACCAAAACTTCCAAATTTTTTGAAATCCAAAGTTTAACGAGTCAAAATTAAAACCCAAACCTACTTCTAAAATGTTGAAACATATACTAAAAGTTTATAATTAGACCGTTAAATCTGTATTTAAATTGCCATACTGTTTCATGCTTAAGTTAAAAAATAGAGAGCTATATAAACATGTTAGTTTCTACAACTCCAGTTATCCCCAGTTTCAAGTTTCAAATTAATATAACTTTAGAGGTATTCAAGGCAAGAAGATTTAAAAGAAAAAAATAAAGCAAAGTAAATTCAACTTTTCTTTGTAGCTTGTATGATGATCCCAAGGCTACAAACATTAAGAACAGAGATCCAGGTGGTTCATAAACTGAAGTCATAACTATAGAGGTCTTTCAAACACTATCCGACCACCCTTTCTAATATATTCTGAATTAGTAGCAGTGGACTGTTATCCGAAACAGTGAGGATGCAGAATGCAGGACGATCAGCAGTGTGGAGTGATACTGCAAAAAGTGCTCTCTGCATAACCAAAGGTGGGAATAAGGTAAAAGGCTGAAAGGGCTGCATGAATATCTGAAGAGCTTATCACCACCCCTCAAATGAATCATCCATTGGTTCGATGATTAATTTGTCACACATGCAAGGAAATGTTGATGTAAACCGAGTTTTGGTTAGAATGTTGGTCAGCTGATCTTTCGGGTCAATGTGGTGAACTGTGATTTCATTGGAACTGATGCGATCACGAATGAAATGGCAATCTATCTCAATATGTTTGGTTTGAGCATGAAAAGCAGGGTTGTTAACGATGGTCGTTGCTAAAACATTGTCGTAGGGGAGAGGAGTGGTTGTCAGGAAAGGTAAGTTGAATTCTGCAACAAGTCCTCAAAGCCAAACAATGTAAGAGTCAAATATAGCTAAGGCCCTATACTCTACTTTGATTGAAGATTTAGCGATGATATGTCGTTTCTTTAACACTTCAGAAGAGTAGAGTGTCTTATCAGTGCAAAACCCAATGGAGAATTTTCAATCAAGGAGGTCGGACGCCCAATCGGGGTTAGCGTATTAGTGAAGGGTGAGTTCTCCACGAGTGATCAGGAGGCTGAGACGGGCCGTGCCTTTGAAATAATGTAGAAGATGTTTTAATTTCTATAAGTGCTTGTTGAGAGGCTTGTGCATGAATTGGCAAAGTTGATTAGTGTTGGAGAGAAAGTGGGTTTGCAGTCTGCTTGACCTAATTTCTTATGAATGTTAAGGGTCCATTGTGTCTAATGGAGATGATAATTGGATGGGGTAGGAGGAATCTAAATACCAAGAAAGAAGGAAATAGGACCAAGATCCTTAAGGGAAAAGTGAAGCAGTAGGTCTTGAATGAGATTGAAGATGGCCAAGGGTTGGTTTCCGATAATAATATATTATTTACATATAGTAAGTAGATAGTGATAGTATCTATGGAGTATATGAGGGAGGGATCAGGTTGGGTGACCTTGAATCCACGACTGAGAAGGGATGTAGAAAAGGTGGAGTATCATTGTCGTGGTGCCTATTTGAGCCCATAAATGGCTTTTTGGAGTTTGCATATCTAGTTGGGGTGAAGATTATCTATGAAACCTGGTGGTTGATCCATGTGAACATCTTTATGTAGCTTGTCATGGTCAAAGGCATTGGAGTTGGAGAATGAGTCAAGTGTGATGGAGAGCTACTATTAGTAGAAGGCGAATAGTGGGTAGCTTGGCTACCGGTTGAAATTCTAATAATAATCGAAAGCATATGCCTGTTTGAAACCTTGAGCAACGAAACGTGCATTATGACAAGCAATTGAACCATCAAGGTAAAGCTTGATTTTGTATGTCCAGCAAAAGACGATGACTTGTTGATTAGAAGGAGGCAAAACCAGAGTTTAGGTCCCCTGGCATTGGAGGACAATGAATTTGGCAGACATTGCTAATCTCTATTTAGGAAGTTTTGAAGTTTGAGAATAGCATGTTGGAGTGAAGAAAATGGTGGGTTGGACCAAGAGTGAGAGGATTTGTTTAGGTTTGGAATGACTAGTTTTGGATCGAGTTTGCATACGATGAATATTGGTTGTAGTTAATGATGGGGTTAGCTGGAGAGAGCATGCGGATGAAGAATTGTGAGGAGAGAATGGGGGAGCTAGGATCGACGGGCAAAGACAAAGGTCAATAGGAAGGTTGTGTTGAGTAAATGAGGTTAGGGGAATAGAAGCAGAGCTAGAGGTTCTATAAGGACTGTTAGAAGTGACAAGATAGTTTGTAGTGAGGTGAGCTTCAACCTAGAAGAAAAGAGGGAGATAGGCTACATGTAGGAAAGCTCTAGTAGTTTTTATTAAATGACGGTGTTTGCATTCGGCTACTTCATTTTGTTATGAAGTGTTAAAGATAGCTCAATTGGTGTTTTATGCCACGCTCGGATAGAAAGTGATGTAGGTGCCGAGTAAGATATTTGTTGTCGCCATTGAATCATAATGTTTTAATGCAAGAATTAAAAATATTTTCAATTGTTTTTGTGAATTGAATAAATTTATTTGAAGTCTAAGCTTTGTTATGCATTGAAAATAGCCAATAGTAATTGGAGTAGTCATCAATAAAGATTACATAGTATTTGAACCTATGAAGCAAAGAAATGAGAGATGGCTTCCAAACATCAGAATGCATAATTTCTAAATGTTTGGAAATATGTAAACGTTTTAAAACAAAAGTTAGCTTGTGAATTTTAACCACATTACATGAAGTGCATAGATGAGAGGGAGAAGTACAAAAAATTTTAAGAGATTTTGAGATTTTTATAATGAGGGTGGCCGAGTCGAGCATGTCATATATTAAGCAGGCTAGTATATGATGTAAGAGCTATTGGAAACTGATGGTAGCTAGAGTTGGGAACCAAGTAGAGACCATTATGACTACAGCCTTAAAGGAGGATTTGGTTGGTTGAGAGGTCCCTGATAGCGAAATCGATAGCATTAAAAAAATGAAGCAATGGTCTAATTTTAGTTTATTGATAGATAAAAGATTGTATGATATAGAGGGCGTAATACCCAAATACTTTCAGGTAAAAATACTAAATAAGTGATTTTGTTATATGATGTTACTATCTACAATTCTATCATACAAGGATTTGTATTATATGATTTATGAGAATTTGTTATGTCAGGTGAAAGGTGTCAGGTGAGTGGGGCAATACAACCCTAATAGAAAGTGCGACCTAGTAGAGGCAGTGCGACCTCAGTATGATATGAAGTCTACGAGCTATGAGATGAAACCTACAGGCGATAGAGGCAGTGCGCTCTCAAATGCCTACGAGCTGTAGACATAGACATAACCATGTGGACATTACACTTTCTAAGGATGAAAAAGAAAACTATGAGATGAACTGAAATATAATTCTAATTACCTATAGTAATGTATGAGGTACAATTTTAAAAATAATTGACAATGTAGGATATATCGACACTATAGTAATTTAGTGTCAAAATACTAATACCATAATGTAATGATATTAAAATAACATTCTACATAACTCTCATGTGTAACAGTATTTTCACTTGTTACGTTATAATCTGTTGTGTATCATTACTATTAAAAGATTATAGACAGTTTTCTTTCATACATGCGCTTTTTGATATACAAGTAAGTATTGTATTTCATATACTTGAATAATGTATTAAAATTGAATATATTTCTGAGTCTCACAACTCATCAGATTTTTATTATGGTTGTTGTTACAGGAAAGGGCAAGGATAAGGAGGAAGCAAAGTAAACTCAGGTCAATTTAAAACTGTATTTTATTTTATAGTGGTATGAGATGAGTCATAAACAAAGGTACGTGAATTATTATTATGAAAAGGTTTTTGGATTATTAGTTGCTCTATAATTATTTAAACATATGATATAAATGGAATGCTTTCGTTTTATAGTATAATGTGGTGAACTTTGATTTTTTTTGAAATGTTGATGAGTTTTAACTGCCCATCTGTACAAACAACATGGTCATCAAGCTTGAAATCCAAGTGAAAGGATTGCAAATCTTTCATAAAACCCATGAAGCATCTTCAAACAATAATACATCCCATTGGATTAACAATTGTGTAGTTATTATTATTATTATTATTATTATTATTATTATTATTATTATTATGTAATACGAAATAATAGCCAATGGTTTCACCAATGGTCGACCATCGCTAAATTGGCATGGCAATGTGGCTATGTGTAAAATGGTTTAAGACGTGAAACATGAAAAATCAAGTGTATCTTTGTTGTCTTTGGTAGCTAATATAATATCCCTAACCGATTGGAAGATAAGGGAGGGATCATTTTTGTAGGTTGGTGGCTTGGTGCTCAAGAAGACCAAGAAGTTTTATATATTCAATCCTCATAATACAAAAGCATTACTATCTTCTCATAATATAAAAGTTTGCAACACCAATTCAATTGAAGCAATATAATGACAACTGGATGATATATTGAAACAATGAAACTTCATTATCGTTACCTTCGTGCTCCGTCGAAGGAGAAAGGTCACGATGGACGGAGTCGGGTTTGAGGGGCCTGTTTAGAACGAACTGCGCACGACGGGTGGTTTCCGGCTTGATGGCCGCTGCGGTGGCGTATACCTGGGTGCTCGGCTGGTCTATGAAAGAGGAGCTGGTCGAGGATGCTCACAAGAGAACGAGTTTGGATACGAGGACAGAGAGAATGGTCAGGGAAACGAAGTAAGGATTAGCGCGAGCTAGGGCATGGTGGGGCTTGATGGAAGCTTTGAAGAGGATCTGGTCGCTAGCGCGAGTTTGGGGATGAAACCTGGATTGGGGAGAGACTGGGAGTGGCGCGAGGGGTCAAATTACTATGTACGGTCACCGGACCTATTTTAGGTCCGGACATCCACTAAAAATTTGTCACGTGGATCTGATCATTTTGACTGTGCTTTAGGTGCGCTTTGGATGCTCTTTGACTGAGCTTTACCTACGCTTTGGGCACGCTTAACTTAAAATTTTGCGGACACGTATACATTCCACACGTCAAATTTTTAGAGGATATCCAGACCTATTTCTAGGATCGATGATTGGACGTAATAATTTGCCTGCGCGAGGGAGGGCATCGGACGGGTTCAAGCGGGTAGGGTTTGTATGCTGCGAGCGTGTAATTTTTTGTATATATATATATATATATTGGATATTTTGATATTTTTAAAAGAATTTTTGCCTTCGTCCCAAATAAGCTCAAAATTATTTAGGGGCTGTTTGGTCGCCAGAAAAGAAAATGCAGTGTAAAGTAAATACTTTGAGGCTATTTGGTTGTCTGCAAAATAAACGCAGGAGAATTGTTTCCCTTGTTTGGTTAAGTATATCCAGAGTAAAGTAAAAGCATTTTTCTTTTTTAATAATTTATTTTGTTATTAAAATTAGTGTATTTATAAAAGCAGTGTATTTATAATAATTAATATTATTTGATGTTATAAAATAAAATCAGTGTATTTATTTATTGAACGATCTTAAAATAATTTGTTTTTATTATAAGATATAAAATTATGTTGTGCATTAATTTAACAGTGTACTGCAATAGACAAAAATATACTTTTCATAGAGAGATATTAATTTTAAATTCTTTTAAAATTTTAAATTTTTATTTTTCAAGTAATGTTTTAAAAAAAATGCATAAAATTAAATTTTCAAACTGATTTCTTTCTTTATTTTAGCGATTAAAGCAATCATTTTCAATTAGCAATCAATAAATCACATAATTCTCATTCATAACATGTAAACAACTTTAATGAAAAAGTACAATTTGAAAACAAAAGATAAAACAGAACGCATTGTTCGTAGTTATAATTACAACAAATTAACACAAAACTACTAAAAAAGATGAAAAACTATCTTATAAAAAGATAAGGACAAAGTTACCTATAATTTTATTTTGGTATCAAAAGATAATTATAAAGTTACCCAGACTATTTAATATCTATAAAAAAAGGAGATATCCTAGGCCAACAAATACCCATTGCTATCTGCTTGAATTCAATCCCGAAATTTTTCAAAATTTAGCTTGATTCTGCATTTCTGAATCAAAACTTTAAAAAACAACATCTAGGCCAATTCTTGGTTACACATTTACACCTTATAGGTACCTAAGTATAGATTCTATTTGTACCTTTTTTAAGTAGATAGCAAACATGCACAATTTGAATGTGAAAAGCAGGATGCTTTCTAGAACTTAACAAGAATGTCTACATTGCACATCCTTGACAAGTATAGCTATGCGAAGAAGTGAATAAACCCATTAAATTAGCAAACTTCAAATCAAGATCGCAAGATATGCCAACACACTTGAGACTGAATGATAACCAAAATCAAGGGGAATTCCTAGACAGGCTTATGAAAGCGAAATATGTTAATCGCTTCAAGAACTGCCTTCACAAGAAACATGAAACCAAATACCATAAGGTTGTAAACTGCACGATGAAAACTAATGGCAACGAAGAAAACATTTAAAAATATATTACAAAAAAAAATTAAACAATAAGAAAATAAACAAGAGAAAAGGATGCTCACTTGTGGTAACTGCAAGTAGTAGCATTGCTGTAACTGTCAAAAAAAGTTTGCTAATACAGACAAACATATATAAAAATTCAATTAATGTTGATGGAGAACAGCCCTCCAACACGTATACAAAGAAGTTTGCAGAAAATCAAGTGAACCATTTGTAACAAAATCATAAACCCCATGTATCCCTCAGCAAAATTAAAAAACAAATGAAAGAAGTTTCCAACTCCAACAAATAAAAAATAAAACCAGAATTCACAAAACCAGCAAACAAACCAAATAGCCCACGTCAATAATGAACAAAATCTAATCATCCATGATATCTTCAAGAACGAGTAAAATAGCCTTTCTGGTAATGTATGGATGTGAATTCGCATGGAGGGGATGGAAAGAGAAAAGTAGGCATTACTAGTAGAAAGTTCATGAAGTAAAGTTAAATTAAATACATTGTACACTCAACTAGTACTAATATTTGTCATAAAGTTTAGTTTTGGTTGCAATATAAAGCCATACTATACCATGCATGTGCTGTGCAAATTCCTTAGGTCTAAATGCAACAGAAAGTTCAGCATAATCTATTTGTTTCTAAGTCAAATATCTTGTCACAATTTAAAATGAACTCAAGCTTATAGATATATTAAAAGATGAATTATATGCAAACTAAATCATAACTATTGTTTGGCAGAATTCAATTCATTTTCATAGAGAGTATCGGTTGTAAATACTTTAACCAGTTACAGTTCGTGTTTTAACAATAAGATTAGGCTCCTTCATCTTGTTCCAAGATTTTCTAAGATATTTGGAACACATTCAACTAGTTCATGCATTAATTACCTTATCTTCTTACCTGAAAGGATCCTTCACTACACTAGGATATATATTTCTCCAATAACCACTTGAA